GTGTGTGTGTGTGTGTGTGTGTGTGTGTGTGTGTGTGTGTGTGTGTGTGTGTGTGTGTGTGTGTTTGCAGGCCTTAATGGCAGATTGAGACTCTTCAGGGAGTGTTGCTCAAGGTTAGGCTCAGGGGACGAGGGGCAATTGACCATACTGTCTGTGACACTGACCCCTCTACTGTCAGCACATTCATCATCCAACTGTGACGCATGGGCAGCACACACACACACACACACACACACACACACACACACACACACACACACACACACACACAACAAAATGCACACAATTTCCAAAAACACATGCCACATATACCTGAACTGAAAAATGACATCGTAAGTTTGTGCAACATCAATTATCAAAGCTGCTGACACTTTGCCCTTCACATTAAAAGCATCACTAAATAGAAAAAGAGATATACAAAAGGAACATGGTATGAGATCAATGGAAAATAAAAATAAAGAAAAAACTGAAAAACAAGTTTGGAAAACTCATTTTTAAACAGTGAGTGGGGTAAAAGAGACACAGAGAGAGAGCAGTGGAGTACTTGCTTGATTGAACAGCTGAGATAGAACTGACAGAGGCACAATGTGAATGTGTGGAAGAGGAGGGGAAGAAAGACAGCGAGATGGAAGGAGTAAAACTGCATGAATGTGTGTTTAAAGACATCCCATGAAGAGTGTGAGTGTGCGTGTGAGAGTTTGTGTGTGTGTGCGCACACGTGTGTGTTTGTTTGTGTGCAAAAATGGCTCTATAGAACTGAATTGAATGAACAAGGAAGGTGCTGACGAAACGCAGAAAGAAAACTGTGGGTGTTAGAGAGAGAGAGTGAGTGTGTGTGTCTGTGCAATACTCCCATGTCTCTATATGAATGAGTGGATGCGGTGGATGGCAGGCAGCTGCAGCAGTGTGATAGCCGAGCCGAGTTGCACAGATATCAGCGCTGACATTTTGGGCTTCACTACCCACCCACGGCCCCACGGGAAACTGATGGCAATAGCAGCAGCAGTGGCCGCATCACCCCACTGTCGCTGCCTCCGCTGCAGCCCCAACCCCTCCCTGAGCTTGTCAATCACAAAGCTTTGCTTCCTGACGCACCGTCGGCCTTAGCCTGGCTCTGGTTGGACCCATTATGCCACACAGCAGTGAGCACACCGCATGAACTACCGTCACCAGACCCCGCAATGCACTGCTGATTCCTATCTAGTCCTCAACCCTCCCACCACACTCACCAAGTCTGCCTCTTCATTCAATCTCATCTCTAGCTGCCAGACTGATAGTCCTGACCGCAGAGAGAAAAACGACAGAGAAGAGGGTTTTTTTTTCTGTGTGTGTGTGTGTGTTACTGTTGCAGAGAAGGCGAACAAGGAAAGATGGGGAGCTCTACAGTAGCACACAGTAAAGGGAGGGAGGGCAAAACTGCTGAAAGAGAGGAAATAGATAACAGCGTGATACACTCTGGCCCCTCCTCTAGGCTTCTTTTAGGGCACCTCTTGGCCTCCTCTCCTCTACCTCATCCTCCCTCCTTCCTCCTCCCCCACCAACCCCTGGGCCCTCTGGTGTGTTGCTCACTCCATTGTGTCAACCTTCAGAAGTGCTCAGTTTGAGTGGCAGGCCGTCACAGATCAGTTCCCTGCTAAAGCGGCCCGGCAGGCCAGGGTGACGGGCCAGGAAGGGATCTAAGTGGGGTTTATCAGCGCTTCTTAACGCCTCTCCGGCTGCCTGACACAAAAGAGAGGGGTATTAAACATCTAAAGCAAACCAAAAAGCGTGAAAGCTCCTTATAGGGCCGCGGGATTGCGGATGTGACTGGAGT